TATTTTTTTATATATTCCATTCCACGCACACGCACACACATGCACACACGGTTAATTATGGATCAATTTCCGAGTAAATTTTAAGGATGAAAAAATTATAACTACCGTATCACGATTGTTTGCGTCCTGATGGCGACCACAAAATTAATTATCGTCCGCATATGTCGCATTGTGTCTCATTTAGAAATTAGTAACGCATCTTTCGTTTCGCTCACCTTCTGTTTTGGTACCACGTTTTCACTTGCGTGTCCGTCAGCTGCAGTTTCGCCGCCAGCTCCATCCTGTCCTGCACGCTAAGGTACTTTTGCCGCTCAAAACTCTTCTCGAGAGTCTGAAGCTGGTGATCCGTGAAAGCTGTGCGCGCCTTACGCTGCTTCTTACTCTGCGCGGAACCCAAGGAACTCGAGGACGAGCTTTTAGGATCATCCTCTTTGCCACCTGAAATTGCAAAACTGTTGATATTGAACACCTTCTTACTTTCCTTCCATTCTCGTCGTGCTCGACTTAACTATAAAATTACCTCCAAAGAGGAAAAAAAAGATTTAACGATCTTGGATCGAGGGTATGCCGATGATAATTACTTTGTTACGCTTAATAAGTAATTTATAATTTGATTATTATTTTTGTTAATTATACAATAAGATTTTACGTATTCATCTTTGAACAAACTTTATTTTAATTAAAAAAAATCTTTATATAAGGCTTATAATTTTTAAAATACTATATATATAAGTTTCACGATGCATACATAACAATGATGTTGTAACAATATAATTTTACCAAAAAGATTCCTACATATAAAGAATCATTGGTCCATCAGAAATTGCGAAGTGCCGTGTGCCAAGCTTTTGTTTTCGCGGAGGGTAGAATCGATGCCGCGCGCGTGGATTATACGCGATGTTCGTTTTTGTCGTTGCTCGCATGGCGATTGCAGCCGCCTCTCTATCGAAACAGAAAGGGGGGGAGGGAGAGAGAGAGAGAGAGAAGAGAGTAAAATCCTTTTGTTCTCAGTTCGACTCTCCGCGCAGCCGAGAGCCGATTGGCTGGTATCGCGGATTGGACCACGCAGCCGCGTCGAGACGCCGCAAATTATCCCCCCGATACGTCGTCGTATCCGGAGAGAGATAGAGAAAGAGAGGGTGGGATTCCCCGAGGAAACCGATTACACCCGATACGAGTCACGCTCACACGCGGCATACAATCGCACGTCCATGTCCGTTTCATCCCTCTCTCGATTCATTACACCATCGTTCTTGTTTCTGTCGTAGATGGACAGCCCAGTCATAGGAAATAGATAATTTTCCATTTTTTTAATGGAACGAATTATTGAGAAAAATTATTAAGACTAAATAGTGTCGATAATGTAATAATAAAAACGAAGAAGTAAATTTGATTATCCAAAAAAAGTTTTAAACTTTATAATTGGATTAACAAACATGCCTTTTTATTTATTGCTTTAAAATTATAAAATATTAGAGATCAAATATTGTAATTTGCTTTTCTTATTAAAGAAAAAGAAAAGAAGAAATATTTTTACAAATATTACCTGTGATCGGCTTCTTCAAAAGTTATAACTTCCAAACTGCAATGTAAACTCTTGCAGCAATTTTATTTTTAGACGTAGAAAAACTCTTTGCCCTTCGGCAGATAAATTATCCAACCCTTCTCGAATTACCCCATAACGGGGGACGTGTCTTGTTGCAAGTAAATCGAGCAACCTTCCGAGAAGTCCCGCCCGATCAGAAAACCATCGAGACTTAACCTCCTGAGGGAATAAAAGCCCGCACAGGCTTCTAAAAGTATCTAAAGGCCCGTTGTCGCAAACTCATCGATTGGAACGGTCGTGGATGGCACGGGAGAAGCACCCTGGCAGAAGGTGGGACCAGAGGGGAGGATGCAGCTAGGAATAACACAGCACCGGAAGGGAAGTGGCGGAGAGAGGAGGAGATCGGGAAGATAGAAAGCTCGTGGATTGAGTTAACCCGGACGAAAGCGCGGCTCTTAGCCCCTGTTTGATCGGCCAGATTCGCTCGAACGGGTCCAGAATCTGCCGCGCCATGTTGGCTACCATGACGTGCACGCGCGCGCGCGCAACACCCCCTCCTAAAAAAGGTTTGGAGCAAGGAACTCCATCCTGACTGCATCGGCACCACAGCTCGTCGATTCGAGCTCGACTCCGGAGACTTGTCCGCGAAAACGGGTGGAAAAGGGTGGAGGGAGGGGAAGGGAAAATATAAGAGTGGAACGGTGGAAACGGAGGTTGGAAAACTAAATTTACTATGTGATACACTTAGAGCCCGGGTCCCGACCGACGTCGGAGTTCTCCTTTTGAGACACTTCCAAGACGTTAGGCGGAACTTTCCCCTCCCCCAAGTCCCCTGCCCATCCTTTGCACGGTAATTCGAGAACCATCGCGAAACATCCATCCCTCTTTTTTCCCGGCCATCCGCCCGCTCGCCGTTCGTCTGCGAGGCACGTAGTCCAGGGCTCAGGGCTTATCTATGTCCGCCTCGTCCTTACGAGCGTGTTCATGCGCCACTCTTTACCCCCGCGTTTTCACTTTGATGCGAAATAGCGACGCCCACGATCGGCTTTGCGCAAAGTGGGCTCCATTTCAGGATTGAAGTCGCGATTTGCGATCATATGCTTCCGGCGATCTTTATATACCAGTGTCAAGATAAAATTAAAACGTGAATTACGCTAACATAAAATGAGTTTTTTCAATGAAGGCAATAATTAAATTCAATATTTCTATTGTCTTTGCTTTAACGTGTTATGGACGATTAATACATATTTCTCCGAAATATTACACAATGGCTATTATATACTTTTTGTTAACGGCAAAAACAGGAAATCGTACAGGAAATGTAAAAAAAATTTTGTAACCTATTCGATTAACGATGCTCACACGACGTTCATAACATTACTCTTCTATTCAGTTTTGTAGTCTAATAATTCACTTCGACGCGGTAAATGATCGATATTTTTTTGGTCTCTTATAACAATAATGCGGCGTTACAAATTCCGCGCATTATTCATTACGCCATAAAGCCATCCAATTATCCGTCCGATAGTTGCAATATTACCCAGTCCTATCAATCTAATTGTGCGGCGACATTACGGCATTGAAATAAACTCATCAGTGTGAACTTTCTTTGCGAATACAAAATGCGGCTCGTTGCTAGTTGATGGAACGCATCACTCATCATATACGAAACACACGCGTCAAATCGCTCGCTCGTAACAAAACTTTAGCGTTAAAATGGATCTGTTCCGCGTAAGGCAGCGGTCTCTGAATTCGCTCGACTTTTCTCTCTCGCATAGAATATTTCAGTGAAGTTCTCAAAATACTCTCAAGATATTACTGGTAACTTCGTCCGCTAAAGTAACTCGAGCACCTTCTTTCCTTTTGGGAACTAGAACAGTTTCCCTTTATCTTCCCCACATCTTTCGCCGACACGACACGTAGTCACCGGGCTTTTACGTAGGCTTGTCTATGGTTATAAAATGTGTTACGACGACTTTTTATTCCGTATGTTATTTTGAGTCCGCGAAATCAAACGACTGTTCGCAAAGGGATTTTCGAGTTACGCGAACTTTTCAATTGTGAATAAAGTTAAGCGAAGCGATCGGGTTTAAGTTTTTATATTTGATCTGCTATTAATATTTCTCTTTTAGAATCAGTAATAATTTCCAAAGAGATTACATCTTGATAGTGTAAATTACATAAAGATGATCTTTAATCTTACTTTTTATAATGGTAGAAATGTTATTGAGACAAGATAGTATCGAAAAGCAAATTCACCGAGATTATGATGGTTACGACCCCCAAGATTTCAGATTGAGCGAGAAATAATATTTTAGACGCGCGTTTTCCCAACGCGTTACTGCCGCGTGACGTGCGACAATAGCTCCGCGTTAATTGACGCTAACGCTCGCGAGGTATTCGTGTTCCATAAGTCACGACGGTAAACGTCATTTCCACTGTCAAGCGGCGAAATGTATTTTAAAAAGGTTCTCGCAAACATGGCGCCCGTGAACGGATGTACCGCGCCAGTGAAAATCATGACGTGTTCTCAAGTCGCATTACGTGAAAGAGAAAGACCGGGGAAGAAAGACAGGGAAGAATGGAGGAAATGAGGGGGACTTGCGTGCCACAAGCATACGCCGCGGTACAATGTATGGCGCATAAAAGTGAGATTAACAGGATGTTTATCGAGCAATTATGCGCCGCTGCAATTAGTGCCAGCATGTTGCCGCCGTCGTCCACGTCGCGGTCAAATCGTTCACGTCGTCATTACGGAGGTCTATGCGCCAATTGTGATTGCAATTTACAAGCGAGAAGCGCGCAAGTTTTTAACAGACTCGTTAAAAACAAAGCAAAATCCATTAAACAGTCTAAATTATTATTTTTCAAAATCTTGATTTGTCGATTTTGTTCGTTTACATATTTAAGTAATTTCTATAATACGTATAAATTGTGAAACGTTAAAAAAATAAGATCGCCAAATACTCTGCATTTACATTGCATTTATATTATGTATACATATAGATTTTTAGAATAATCTTACAATCTCGTCCTTTTCCTAAAATCACTTTTCTCTATTTCGATGGAAATATTTTGTTGAAATTTTCTCTTAATTGATTCCATTTCATTATTATTCCATCAATATACGCAGTTTTCAGTACATACTTCAAAAAATTTCAACAGTATTTTTTCATCCTTATATTTCGTAGTATTACATTGAATTTCATAAGGGCAAGTATGATAGTACCCTATAAAATTATAATGGAAAGTAAAATAAAGTTATTCAAAAATTACTGGATATATTTCAAAATAAATTTTAATGTTTCTTATGCAATGATAATGTAACATTAAATAATACCATATAGTAATATGTAATATATGTAATATTGTGAAATATAAGGAAAGTTAATGTACCGTTGAAAAGTAATAAAAAATTTTGAAATGATAATGACATAATAATGATAATGATAATCAAGAGAGAATTTCAGTGCTAAATATTCCGTCAGAATGATTAATTTTATTAACTATCGATTTGTATCGAAAATATTGAAGCAAATATTCGAATGATAATCAATAATAGTTATTACATATAAAAGAGCGGACACAAAAGAGAGGCAGAGACAGAGAGAGAAAAAGGGAGACAGAGATGTAATTTTTTTTTATAAAGGAATTATGTTGTAGCGACATTAAGTGTAGCGACAGACAACTTCCCGAGTAATCGAGCAATTCGACATCGTTACTGGGCCAAGGACTGCATGCGAAAACTTGCAGACACTGTGACGAATGCGCAGGATGTAGAGAGTGCAGCGCTAGTGGTTGCAACCGAGGGAGTCAGCCGGACGGATCATAAAAATGGGAATAATAAAACTTTCGCAAAGCGTTGCCTCGCACTTTATGATCTTGGCGGATG